GAATGGTAGGAGGGAGAGTAAAATAAAGACAATGGATTTCAAGAAGGCAGACTTCAGCAAACTCAGGGAGTTGGTAGGTAAGATCCCATGGGAAGCAAGTCTAAGGGGAAAAACAATTGAAGACAGTTGGCAGTTTTTCAAAGAGACATTATTAAGGGCACAAGAGCAAACTATCCCACTGCGTGGGAAAGACAGGTATATGGCAAGAGACCACCCTGGCTTAACCAGGAGCTCTTCAATGATCTAAAAATTAAAAAAAAAAAAAAAAAGTCCTACAAAAAGGGGAAACTCGGTCAAATTACAAAGGATGAATATAAACAACTAACACAAGTATGTAGGGACAAAATTAGAAAGGCCAAGGCACAAAACGAGATCAAACTAGCTAGAGACATATAGGGTAACAAGAAAACATTCTACAAGTACATTAGAAGCAAGAGGAAGACCAAGGACTAGACCCCTTACTCAGTGGTGGGGGGGCAATAACAGAAAATGTGGAAATGGCAGAGGTGCTTAATGACTTTTGTTTCGGTTTTCACCAAGAAGGTAGGTGGTGATTGGACGTCTAACATAGTGAATGCCAGTGAAAATATAGTAAGATCAGAGGCTAAAATAGGGAAAGAAAAAAGTTAAAAATTACTTAAATAAGTTACATGTCTTCAAGTCACTAGGGCCTGATGAAATGCATCCTAGAATACTCAAGGAGCTGACTGAAGAGATATCTGAGCCATTAGCGATTATCTTTGAAAAATCATGGAAGATGGGAGAGATTCCAGAAGACTGAAAAAGGGCAAATATAGTGCCAATCTATAAAAAGGGAAATAAGGACAACCCAGGGAAATACAGACAAGTCAGCTTAACTTCTGTACCTGGAAAGATAACGGAGCAAATAATTAAGCAATCAATTTGCAAACATCTAGAAGATAATAAGGTGATAAGTAACAGTCAGCATGGATTTTCCAAGAACAAATTGTGTCAAACCAACCTGATAGTTTTCTTTGACAGGGTAACAAGCCTTGTGGATAAGGGGGGGGAAGAGGGGGGAAAAGGGGTAGATGTGGTATATCTTGACTTTAGTAAAGCTTTTGATGCTGTCTTACATGACCTTCTCATAAACAAGCTAGGGAAAATGCAGCCTACATGGAGCTACTATAAAGGTGGGTGCAAAACTGGTTGGAAAACCATTCCCAGAGAGTCATTATTAATGGTTCACTGTCATGCTGGAAGGGCATAATAAGTGGGATCCCGCAGGGATCAGTTCTGTTCAATATCTTCAACAGTGATTTAGATAATGGCATAGAGCATACACTTATAAAGTTTGCAGACAATACCAAGCTGGGAAGGGAACAATCAGTTGCATACATACAAAATGACTACCTAGGAAGGAGTACTGCGGCAATGGATCTGGGGGGTCATAGTGGATCACAAGCTAAATATGAGTCAACAATGTAACACTGTTGCAAAAAAAAAGCAAACATCATTCTGGGGTGTATTAGCAGGAATGTTGGAAACAAGACACTCTACTCCACGCTGATTAGGCCTCAATTGGAGTATTGTGTCCTGTTCTGGGGACCACATTTCAGGAAAGATGTGGACAAATTGGAGAAAGTCCAGAGAAAAGCAAGAAAAATGATTCAAGGTCTAGAAAACAACCTATGAGGGAAGATTGAAAAAACTGGGTTTGTTTAATCTGGATGTAGCAGGGCAGACTCATCCCTGTGGCACCTCCAGCTAGTCATCTCTAGGAATTAGCTCACTTTCTAGACAGAAGCGCCCTCTGCAGACCTGTGATCCACTACCGCTTGGCCCCCCATGTACCTCCCGGACCCAGTGCTCCATTACCTGGGGTGCTGCCCCCTGGCAGTAACCCCTCAGTTTTAGGGTCTACCCTCCCCAGGGAACCCCCACCCACTATCCCCACCTCACCTCAGTATAAGGCTACTGCCAGTCATCATCTAGCCCCACACCCTGGGGCAACTGCAGTATCAGCCTACTCATCACTGGCAAGGTTGGGTTTCAACCTGCTGCCTTGGCCTACCCCCAGTACCCTGTGGCCTTCTGCTAGACTGCAGCCTGGGGCTTTCTAGGCTGGGGCTGGAGTGAAGCTGCACTCAGACACTAGAGAGAGTCTACTAAGCGCCTGGCTCCCAGCCTCTTATATAGGGCCAGCTGAGGCCTGATTGGGGCATGGCCCAGCTGCAGCTGCTTCTCCAAGCAGCCTAGTAGCTGCTTCCCCCTGCAACAGCCTTCTCCCAGGGCAGTTTTAAGCCCTTCAGGGCAGGAGCAGGTAACCACCCTGCTACACTGGATAAAAGAAGACTGAGGGAACATGATAACAGTTTTCAAGTACATAAAAGGTTATTACAAGGAGGGAGAAAAATTGTTCTCATTAACCTCTGAGGCTAGGATAAGAAGCAATGGGCTTAAATTGCAGCAAGGGAGGCTTAGGTTGGACATTAGGAAAAACTTCCTGTTAGGGTGGTTAAGCACTGGAATAAATTGCCTAGGGAGGTTTTGGACTCTCCATCATTGGAGATTTTTAAGAGCAGGTTAGACAACCACCTGTCAGGAATGGTCTAGATAATACTTAGTCCTGCCATGAGCGCAGGTGACTGGACTAGATGACCTCTCGAGGTCGCTTCCAGTCTCATGATTCTGGAGTTCTCTTTATATTTTGCTCCAATTGCCTGGTTTTCGAGCAGTAGTAAGTGCTGGTTTCTTTTGTTACATTATTATTATCGCCACCATCTTAGACACCATCCTGCAACTGGATCTATGTCTGTGGGCAGACTCCTGAGCCACATAAAGCTGCATTGACTTCGATGGACCTCTATATGGGTGGACCCTTGCTTTGGCACAGAGCCACACTGAAATCAGTGGGGCTCTTTATGAGCACAGAGGTCTGTCCACATGGATGCTGTGATAAATGAAAGGGGTGAGGGTAGCTCCCTTTTATGGACGCAGCCAGTCAGTTAGCTATAAAATCCCTCATAGTAGCTGTTCTCTACTTGCTTTACCTGTAAAGGGTTAAAAGTCACTGCTATGCATAGGTAAAAGGAAGTGAGTGGGCACCTGGCCAAAATAGCCAATGGGAAGGCTAGAACTTTTTGAAATTGGACCAAGACTCCCCTTTTGTCTGTCTGTTGTTGTTCTTGGAGGAGGCAGACAGGGCTCCAACTATGCTGTAAGAAGCTTGGAGCCAGGTATGAAAAATCATCGGTATTATACCTAGAAACTACTCATTTGAAACCCCAGATATGTAAGTAGATCAGGAAATGTCTATGAAGATGCAATCAGGTTTATCTCCTTTTATTTTTTTATGGCTTGTGGACTCCTCTGTGCTAACCCCAGGTGTTTTTGTTTTGCTTTAACCTTTAAACTGGACCTCAAGAAACTATTCTTGATGCTTAATCCTTGTATTTGCTCTTTTTAAATCTAGCAATAGCCTAAATTCCCAGATGTATTTTCTTTCTTTAGTTTTTTTTAACAAAATTTACCTTTTTTTAAGAACAGAATTGGATTTTTGTGGCCTAAGAGGTTTGTACATATGTTGTTTAATTAGCTGGTGTTAACAGCTGATTTCCTTAGTTTTTCTTCTCAGCTCTTCCCTGGGGGGGGTGAAAAGGCTTGAGGGGACCCCACAGGAAGGAATTTCCAAGTGTGCCTTCCTAAGCTCTCAAAGGGGTTTTGTACTTGGGTGGTGGCAGCATATACCAATCCAAGATCAGAGAAAAGCTGTAACCTTAGGAGTTTAATAGAAACCTGGAGTGGCCAGTATTAATTGTTAGAGTCCTGGCGGACCCCCCACCTTCTGCATTCAACGTGTCAGGGTGGGGAATCAGCCTTGATAGATGCAGTTGCAGGCTCAGGACCTTAATTTCAACTATGGCTCACTTCCACATGTATCTACTGTCCTTTCTGCTCTCTGCCCTTCTCTCCATAACTTTGCTCAACACAATAATAAAGCAATCCAGATGAAAATGCTTTAACCTGTGTGGTGTATCAGTGTAATAGGTATTGTCATAGAAGTTGTAAATCTTTTAGGCCTTGGAAATGCAAGATATACTCATCAGACAGAGGATGTATCAGCTATTGAACTGATATTACACTTGGACTTTGCCATTTACAATTTGAATTGAACAAGGATTATTCATGATGACTTCAACAAAGAGTGTTTGTGGATAATCACAAAAGCCGTGTGTAGTTTGAACTATAATAATCTATAAATAACTCTTGCAACACTAGAATGAAATCTTCAGAGACTTATGTACAAAAGACCCAGTGAAAATAAATCTAGTTTTCAGCAGAAATACAAAGTTCTATCTACATCTTGTAGTTCACGTGATAGCCAATCTCAAATATGCTGTGTTATGAAATAAAAAAAATGAATTTAATGCTTGAGGATGCTGGTGTATCAATGCCATCAGGACTGACTCTATATATCTCTAGAACATGTATGGATCAGCCAGTGGAGATGGCAGTGTAAATCTCCACACAAAGCCTGCCAGTATGCTTTACTCCTGATTTGGAAGGACCATATCTAGGATTGAGGAGAGTTCAGCCTCTGTAACGATGTATTTCTTGGCCTCTGTGCCTTAAATACCCAAAAAGATGAGAATTAGGCATCAGTCCTACAAAGACTTATCCAAGTGCTTAACTTTAAGCATATGAGCATTAACTTCAGTGGGACTACCGGTGCTCAATATGATGTACTTGGTTAAGTCTGTGTAGGATCAGGTCTTAAGTGATAACCCTAGTTAGTGGTGATTTTTGTGATGCAAATACTTGGCCATTAGCTATGAGACTAAAGCCATCAACTCATATCATATAGGTCACCATAAAGAAATCAGATGGAAGTAACTTAGTCAATACTGATCCTGGCTGGGATTGGACAAAAGATCTATGAAAGACTATATATCTCTATATCCCATATCCTGAGCTACCCAGACATTATTATGGAAAGTTTTTAATCAGACTTGACTGGATACGTTTTATAGGCAAAACACATTTATTTTAGAACACTTGCTACAGCATCAACTAATTATTACAAATAATACAAGAGAACTTTACAATTCATAGCATATAGAATATACTACTGAACATTGCTGTGATCCTGTTTAAAGATTATTTAAAGTATTTAAACATTTTTAATTATGTCACAGTGAAATTTAAGTTGTTTTCTATTTGTTTGTTTTTTAATATATATAAATCATATTTTATTTGGCAAAGACTAGGTTCTGTATGATCATGTCTTACAAATCTCACTGTGCACTAGTATTTGCTGATTTTGCAGTTGTATATTTTTATTGATTTTTTATACTTCCTTCTAAGTAAATTATATATAAATTGGCAATGTTGGTAAAGATTTACATTATGAAATTTCTAATACAGTAACTGACAGTCCTACATTATGTAAAAGGGGTATTTTTATACTTTAGTATGAAGCAGACGTCAAAAAAAGTGCTGTCATGCTATTTTATGGAGGCAAAGAAATTACTATGCAGCTGAAGCATTATAATTTTGTGCTTAAAGATTTCTTCCTCCATTAGTATCTAGTGCTAAATCCTGAGAAATCAAGCTTGGAGATTTCCTTCTCATTAAAAAAGTTGGTTCGGTCTATGCGAGAACTGGGACTTCCAACTTTACTCAGCCAGGCCTTCCTGAAAAATAAAATAAAAATAAAAGCATGTTAGAATAAAATGAACCCCATGTGTGGCATTTGCTCTTCTGTCGTGTTTTCTACTTAAAGGGCTTATGAAGCTCAGCTTTTCAATGAGGAAATTAGTCCTGATAAATGGTTTCCAAATATGTTGTTATCTCCCTCAGCTGTTTTTCCCCTTTTCTCTTTACAAGCAAGATAAAACTATTTAAATAGTAAATAAAATTGTCAGTGTTTCAAAATACATTGTGTTACATTGTGAATATTACATACAATTAAATCTGGACTCTGAACAAAATTTTAGTTGAAGTAGGCTCCTTACGGGTGCATTATTAAAATGAATACTCAGTTTTACCTACTTTAATTATGTCATTCATTATAATAGTATGTGTTTACAAAGTTAATAGAATACTCATTGCAAGCACCCGAGCACTATATACAATAAAAAACCAGTAACAAGAAAGGATTATACTACCCCGGAATGTTTGAGGGGGCAGAGAAACCTTAAATCAAACAGCATACAAACTACATTAAGAGAACGTTATTGAGTTTGCAAGTTAAGTATTAAAAAGTTAGGAAATGCCAGAATTTAGGCTGTCTGCGCAACATTAATTCTGCCCTTGCATGCATGTGCATAATAAACAGTCTTTAATTACATAAACACATTGTTTTTCCTCCACATGACACTGAAATTAATAGGACTACTCCTGGAGTAAGGTACTACTCACTGTGAGTAAGAGTGGCAGAATCTGGCCTTTAGTTAATACTTTGTTCCAGATAAGAATTAGCAAACCTTTCCAATTTGCTATTTTCACAATACACTCTACAAATATGGTGCAGAAAAGTTTTTCTAACTTATCATCCTTCTCAGCATCACTCACAGTAAATGGATCTGCAATGATTTATCAACACAAACTTCCTAAAGGTTTAATTTCTCTTATTTATTTGAGAGAATAAAATATGTTAAAGTATTTGTATTTGTTTGTTTGTTTTATTTTTTTTAACCTTGCTATCAGGTACCTGTAAGACTGCACCCCATATTCTTCATAATGATATTCTTATAATATGATTATAGCATAATTATGATGCATTTTATGCAAGACAGGTCACATGAGAGGTCATTGAAAATGTTGTTATTCGCTGAATATTTTTACCCTATTTGTATGCATGTATCATTTTTCTATCTGAAGTTATGAATATTGACTATGTATCTGTATTTCAAATGTAGTTACACTTGGGTAATGCTCACTAGGCACTAGCTAGCTGGTTGGGAAAGGCCTATTCAGGGTAATGAGCCATTAGGGAAAACAATAGGCCTTAGGAAAAGCTTATTCCCCACCTGGTGAGCCTTCCTGAGAGTACTCCAGACAGCCTGTAAGTAATGGCTGCTAGGACTCCACAAGGTCATGTGACCAGGCGACATGACTCTGGACTTCATTTTGGGGTGTCAGTGTTTTTCCACAAACTGAGTTTGGGACAAAGGATTCCCGGCATATGCTAAAGCTATGTAAGGCAGGGGGTGACATCATCTGCTGCTCTTCACTCCCCACACAAGAAGACTCCTGGAAACACCTGAGGAATAAAGACTGAACTGAGGGAAGTGCTGGACCCAGACTAAAGGGATTTCTAGCTTGCACATGAAAAACCTGGGGATTCCAAGCTGTAAAGCAGTACAGCTTGTCCCTTAAGACTCTGCAAGCCTGCTTGTACCCCAGGAGTCAGGGTGAGAAACTGCTAATTCATATCCAATCTATCTAGTATGTTAAACTTAGTTTGTGTTTTTTGTTTATTTGCTAGGTAATCTGCTTTGAGCTGTTTGATATTACTTTTAATCACTTAAAATCTATCTTTTTGGAATTAATAAAGTTATTTTATGCTTTAATCTAAACCAGTAAGTTTGGAGTGAAGTGCTTGGGAATCTTAGCTCAGGGGCCTGTTGCATTTCATCTCCACATTGAGGGAGGGATGAACTCTATGAGCTCATACTGTACAGTTTCCTGTGCAGTGCAAGATGGTATAATTTTGGGTTTATATTCCAGTGGGGGGCTGCGTACCTGGGTTATCTTGGCTGTAGCCTCTCTATTTTTGGTTCATGCAATGTCTAGTCAGAGAGCCTGCATGTAACTGCAGCTGGGTGTGTCCCTGCCTGTGTGAATGCTGGTGAAAGTGTAGGACCGGGAGCGGGTCTGCAGCTTGTCACAGCAGCACAGTGCGAGAGGGAGCCCAGGCTGGTGGGTCACAGGGCTCAGCGGTACCCCAGTTCCAGGTAGCACCCCGGGAGGTGTGTGGAGGGGGAACCCGTCAAAGTACCCGTTACAGCAGACTCCTGTAAAGTGTAAGCTGGCTTTAGCCAGAGCTTCAGGCCACACATTGTATAGTATTGTGCTTTTTGTCTAAAAATGAATATCTCTGCTCCACAAAGTACAGTACATCCTGTGTGTGAACTGATAGGATATAAAGATAGGTGACTGACTGTTTTTTAGGAACTTACAGACATGAAAATAATACAAATAACTGATGTAAGATTTAATAATCACTTTGGGTTTTACTGCTAGAATGGCTCTACACAGATTTACTTAAGGATCAAATTATTTCTCAAGATTCTAGATCATAATAGAATCCACTAAAGCAAATGCAATAACAAAGTAGAATACATTTTCTGTGTACTGCATCTAAAGAGGAATGCATTTTACATACATTTTTATCCATGACTAAGACTGTCTTAATTAAGTAATTGTTCACTTAACAAAGCTGTTAAAATATAAGATTTTATTCAACTGAATATGAATTTGAAGAGTTAAAGCAATTAAATTGTTGATTAGTTTTACTGAAAGTTACACTCAGCATTACACAAATAAAATATTCTTGCACTGAGACTTATCTTGATATCTCCACCACGAGAACCACAAATCCACGGAGGCTTTAGATCTTGAACCAACACATGAAATACACCTGGGACATAGGCCACGTTTTATTATAGCCCTATCAAGAACCTGAGAAAAGTGCTGATAGGAGATCTTTTTATGTCGAATTTCTGACAATTCAATGTAATATCTGAAAGTGCCTCAGAGACCTTTGCTGGCTGTGCGGAACAAGAAAGGAGTTTTCCATTACTTGTATTACAGCTGCAGAAACAATTCAGTGTTGCCACCAAAATGGTTAAATCAGTGCTTGTATTAATGGCCCGGCCCTGGACAAATAAACGTTATCCTTGAGGGCAAGTGTACAGATTCCTGGTTAGTTAGAAATCTCTATTTCTAAAGTTTAGTTATGAAAGCAAATATGTGCCTAGACTTCAAGTGTTTTGGGATATAAGTTTAGGAGTTGTAAGAATGCACTTGGTGCATTAGTGAAGCATGTATCCAAGATAGCCTCGCTTGAGCCTTCCTATAAGGGTGCTTCTAAGTGGAAAGGGAAAGATCCCTTACAAAATACCACACAGAACTAGGGAGGAGTATGTGTGTTCAGAATGAACTGGCTATGAGGACAAAAGTCTTGATTTGGTCTATAACTGTTTATTGTAGATCAAATAAATATCCAATTTCTACTAAACGTTTACACACATTTAGACCCAAAAGAGATTGCTCCCAAGGAGCTATGTGGATTGTTAGTTGTGTGACTCCAGTGTGGTCACAACTTCTTTACACTGCCACCCTGCATAAACCTTGAAAAATTTACTTTGAACCAGTGATTATAACACATAGGTTTTGGTGCCCAGAGGAGGACTCTGTAGGACCTTCCTATCTGCTATGCTTCATTTCAAAATCCAATGGTATCTTTAATCATTCTTTATAAAATAACTGTTTGTTCTTTTAGCCCTTTGCCAAGCCACCTAGCTTTAATTAAAATTCACCATAATCTAGGGCGCTTATCCCAGGAATCCCTACAATTGTCAGACATATGAAGTGTACAGAATCTTTGATTTTTTAAGACCTCCTTCAAACCCCTTATATGTAACTATAATACATAGTATAATATCATGTATTCATTTGTAAAACACTTTTGACTAGTATCAAAGTGCTTTGTAGAAAGACCCACAGTAATGCAAATGTGTAACAAGAATAATAGAATAAGATGGGGGGAGGGAATATTTTCAAAGGGACTTTAAAAATGGAAAGAGAAATGATAACATGTATATTGTCTAGTTTGGTGAATTGCTGGAGCTCATGGCCAGTCTGACTGGGCAAGAAGCAGCGCACATGGGTCTGGTTATTAATGCAGATAAAACTAAGTCCCTGGTCATTACTATCACAGTCTCCAACTCCAGATTACAACCAGCTCAGTATTAACCTATCCAGATGGAATAGTGAGCAGATGGCAACTGTCAAATACTAGGGCAGCATCACAGATGACTGCTGGAGGATGCTTGAAAGATGTGGACACTTGTGTAGCAGCAGCTGCTGTCATGCTTTAGGCCCTTCAGTGGCCTCTGTGGCACGTTATAACATCAAGCTTGCTTTGAAGCTGCAGACCTATGAGCCATGGTTACACCACCTTTATTGTATGGCAGTGAAACAGGAATGCTGAGGAAGGCTGAGGAGTGGCCACTTGGTGTTTACAATTCTCATCGTCTTTGTCAGCTGCTCCATATTAAGTGACAGGACAAGATTTACAATGAGGTTGTTCATAGCTAAACCCACCAACCATCTCCATCAACACTGCTTTGGTTTTAGCAACTTTCTTGATATGGACACATCACATTTAGTAGGATGGAAGACCAATGAATTAAAATGTGTTTACCAAAGAATACTGCTACATAACCAGCGATCATGTGGTCACCAAAAGCTTCAGTGGATTCCAGTAAGATCACCAATTATGAACATTGTGACCCAAAAACCTCTTAATGACCACTGCCAAGGGGGTTACAGGACTATCCAGATTGTGTTATGTACTCTCTGGTTCACCAAAGAATGTCATATGAGGCCTCAAATGAAAGCCAGTGTCAGACTGGTTATTAGTATCATGAAATGTATGTACAAATACCATATATTATGTCCCAAA